ATTCTCATGTACACAACATTTGCTATAAGACTATTCAAGAATAACGTAGGAATCTGCCGCTGAAGCGGTTTGTCCGTATAATATTTTGTTGTATATATCTAGTGTTTGTTTGTGGCCGTAGAAAAAGCCATTGGAAATTGATGTCATTGGAAATTCGTAAATAGGTAAGATGCATAGTTCCTGATTTACAGCTGTTGAAACACCACGCACTATGTGATAGATAAAATAGAGGGCATATTCGAAATTCTTTCTTTACCTGATCGTCGTTTTTCAATGGCGTTTGACTGTACCGTAGGTAGGTATCTTTCAAAGAAGGTGTTTTACTTTTTTTGTTAACTCTAAATTTACAGATATTGGATAATATTAGAATTTACGTAAGAGTTGTAAAGCAAACGCATTTTTGGAAATTTATCAAGCTCCGGCAGAATTTGATCAAAATTAAACCATGACACTCAGTTGAATAAAGTGTTCTTGAAGTTGTTAACTGCTTCGAACAGAGTTAACGTTTATAGCTTTGTATACATTCACAAAAGTACCACTGAATGTTTGGTGTACTAGTTTTGCAAGTGTCGTTGTAGTTTGAACAGTACTTGTAGGTTCTTCCAGATTTACACTGTACAATGTAAAGTTATGACACGATGCACGGCGTAAAGAACGACGCCGTGTAAAGTTATGAGAAACGTTAGGCGTTACTTGCGTTTTTCGTTGTAAAGTGGCGTTGATATTAAGCTTACTGTTAAACTGACATTAGCACAGCGCACTACGGGTGTTACTTTTGGGGTCACCTCTAAGGCGAGGTGCGAATACATTCTTTGCTGTTGGCAAGCGTTTTAAAATTTCTCTAAGAAGTTTTAATGCAAATGTGTGTAGATTTGAAAAGTTGCTTCTCATAGTTGGATTTTAGTTTGTTTATCGTATGATGTGGTACTCAGTGTCAAAAATATGTTGGAAGTTTGCAAGAGCGTTTCCCTTGCGAAGCTGAAACGTTACAGGGAAACTGTAGTCACGATGCAGCTGCTTTTCAGCTTATACAAAATAGAGCAAAAAAAATCAACCGGGAAAATGTAATCCAGCCTTATTTACGGAGTCAGAAAATGAGACTATTAATGAAGAATCTGCATGGTTGTCGTAGTTCATGAATATATTAGTAGTAATATTACTACTTGACATTGATATTTTACCTTTCCTTCCGG